TTCAAACAATAAATGATAATAATAACGATGAATGGCTGAACCAGAACCCATGTCCGAATCCCTCTTCTACTGCCAGCACAATATGAGGCCCACCATAGCAATGACCTCCATCTTCCTCCACCTCCAACAGGTCTGGGCTATGACGAACTACTAAGGGGCCTTGCCTGATTTTCAAAAACAACGCAAAGGCAGCAATGTCCTCCACTCTTCAGGCAGCCATGCCTGACTCTGCCTTGAAGGCTTCTTGATTTGGCGCTGCCACCTAGGGGCCTTCCAAATGCTGCGCCTACCAAGGAGATGAAGATGGCGCCTACCATAGCCAGGTAAGTACCCCTGGCGCGCTCCTCTCTAGTCCCCTTCTTCCTCCTCCTCCTACCCAGTCCCTTCCACCAGAGCCGAAGGTGGAGGACTGGGCGCTCCTCTTCCCCCAGCGCTGCACACTAGCGCTCCTCCAGGTGCTCCAGCAGCGTGACGCCCAAACTTGCACGCAGCAAATGAGGACCAATTCGCTCCTACCTGAGATATAGCGGCCTACCAGCCTCTTGGGCGGTGACTTCCAGGCCACTCGGCATCCCAAGCAACCGGTACATCCTCCATTTCAAAGGGAAACATCATTGCAGAACTGATGTCTACTTCTACAGGCCCTAGACCTACACTACCGGACCTCCACCCCTAAAGGTACTAACTTTTTGTCTTCTTCTGCTTGGCCTACCGCTACTCAAGTGCTACCGTTACTGATATTATGCTACTTGAGTGTGCCCTAAGCTACCTCTTCGGCCACTTGAGTGTTTTTTCCCGCTGTAACCCCTAAAGTCACGGCCACAGGTAAGCACTGGCCCCTCGGGCCTCCCAAACAAACAAGTGGCCCGGTGGGCCACACACACACTCAGGCCGACAAGCACTCAGACACGCACACACACAGACTTAGAAAACTCGGCAGAACGTGGGAATCTTAGCAAGGCATACATTCCAGCGCCAAAACTCAGAAATCAGCAGTGTTCTCAGTCCGTGTTTTTGCACGTCCTTGCATATCTACCTATTTGTCAGTCAAACGATCTATCTATCAATCTATCATCTATCGATCTATCATCTATCTATCTATCATCTATCTATCTATTTGTCAACCGATCAATTGATCGATCGATCGATCTCACTGTCAATCTATCTATCTATCTATTTATCAAATAGTTAGTTAGTTTCTCTCTCTCTCTCTCTCTCTCTCTCTCTCTCTCTCTCTCTCTCTCTCTCTC